TCGCCGCTCCTGTAGTTGAATCGAAAACTTTCAACCATATCAACATAAGCCGAATGTAGATCGACGACGACGAACAGTATGAGTTTGGCCATTGATTTCGAAGCCGGATCCGAAATTAGACCATTGAAAACCGGTAATTCGATTTCGACAGTGGAAAACCTTTCGATAAGTTTCTACTTGGCGCGGGCACGTTCCTGTTACATTTGGGAGAGAGACGTGCTGGCAGGAACCGATGCAGACTTTGTAATGTGCATAAGTCCTTATTTTAAGGCACGTGTTTAACGATTCACATTCAACAATTTATCATTCTCGTCTGGAAATGGCCTTTTGTGGACCTGCCTCTTAACCCAGTCTTCCGCCCTGCAGGGGCACACAATAAAGGCAATGTCGATCTGGTCCATTATTTATTTAATGTGATACAATGTGACATAGATGGCTTTTGAGATTTGAGCATCCATAACAGGGGAATTGGCTGGCATTCTCATAAATGATTCAGTTACATTCATAAACACGCGGAGGTCAACATTATGCTGCCAAATTGATGATATTGCTGTTGGAGCCTTTCAACTGATACCTATTCTGTGCTAGTCTTAAAACTTACCGCCAGGTTTTTTAATCCGGAAGAGCGAACTGGATCATTATGGGGGCAATAACACTGTTTCGAAGCGCAGCTCCAAGTTTCTATGGCGCGTTAATTTGAAAAAAGCCTCATTCCCTGCTGATAACTTAGATATAGCTGAAATTGGCTAATTTTGGGAGCGAACGCACTTTAAACAACCAATGTGATAAATTTATGCGATAAGAAAGGCCTTCGTCCCAACTTAAGTCACTTGATTCTCATTCAAATGTTTCAAACCACCCCGGTCAATTAAAACCTTGAAACGCTTTTAAGAACAGGCCCTCTCCAATGAATTGCATTAATGGAATTTCCTTCCGGATTGCCGCCATTTGCATTTTAGATTGGCTTGTAAATGAGCCGTGGAATGCTGAAGTGGTTTTTCTTGGGAGTTGTGAGAGTGTTTTGGCATTTTGTTTTATGTGACTTTAAATGCCCGCAGACTTTGCCCGGAAAGCTGGAACGAGAGGTTCAGGAAACCAGAAGTTTTTTATATTTATTTGGTACTGAGAATACTGATGCCAGTTGTTGGCACTTTAATAGAATGTTTTAATTGGAGTTATAATTTTGCTGGCGCAATAACAGTTGAAAATTCGTTATGCATTTAATTATATTGCTGTTGATTTAAACCAAGGGCGGATCCAGGGGGGGGTCATGGAGGTCATGACCCCCCCCC